ACCACTGAACTACTACTAAGTAGTGAGCGGCTCAACGGTCACTACCACGCAAGTGCATCCAACGCAGCCGCCACTATACTCGGTGCCAGTTGCTGCTCCATTTTCAACACCCTTATTTGGACGAAATATTTTCCAAACCGTCTGAAAATCTAGCAGTTTAGGCACTCCTTTAAGAAAGCCATTAGCTGCTGAATGGGCAAGCCATACATATTTATTCTTCCTTTATGTTCAAGAAGAAGTTCTTCATGGAACCAAAATTTGAGAACTCACGAAAACGGTACCGATCTGAAGTGGTAGCTACGAAGTTGGACTGCTAAACTTGCTGTTGTTAGGTCCTCTCAAGCGACAAATACACCATGTCACCAAGCGACGAGGTGGAGCAGTTCATGTCATGTAGAATCATTGTACTACTGTTAATCATTGTAAAAGCAAGAAATGCATTCAGTCACCTCTAACGGTGCTTAACGAAGTCGAATGCATGGCATATCCAAAAGGAATAGGAACTCTATCAACGCGGAGTGCTTTATCCTTTTTTTCTTTACTATGAAAGAACACCTAGATAGCAAACGAAAATCAAAACAAGGCACGCGATTAGGGACGCAAAGGATACAAAAGCATAGCGGAGACGATTTTGATATAAAGGTCCTCGCACAGGAACCCAAAACACCAATGCGCAAGTTTCTTGAGGCTTTTAAGATAAATACCAGAAACCCTGGAATGCATAGCAGAAAGAAATGCCCGGAGATCACACTTGATCTCTTCCCGTACCTTCCCATCCACTTTTCATGTGGGGTGGTGCATTCATAGACCGTACGCGGCTTTGACCTGGTGTTCTTCCTCATTGGAAGGCAGGCAAAAAAGCGGTGGATCTTTGGTGAAGCCAGCGATCGCGTAGCTATTGTTCAGATTTTCATCTTTCTGTTTGTGCTGATGAAGGGTTTGACCAAGTAAACTGCATATTAGTGCACCCTTCCAGGCTCCCAAGAAGGGGACACTGCCGAAACGTTAGCTACCGTTGTGTTTTATGAGTTATATTTGCAAGGAAGCAAAGGTGTTCTGAATAACAACCTCACGATTGCTGTAAAAAGAAGAATGACAGATTTACAATCCAGTGCCGAGGGTAATAGGAAGTCGATCTTGGGAACTGCTCTCAATAGCCTCTGCCACGTAGTACGTCTTTGAAACCTATTTTGCTAATGGCGACTTCTACTGCTATCTGGAATAATTTCTACGGAATTTTATTGGAGGACTCAGAAACGGAAGTGAAATTTAAAGGCACCAAAAATTCTCTCAAAAAAAACTACATCAAGATATCAAGTTTGGTAAAAAAAAAAAAAGCCCCACTCGTAACACCACGGCTCTGAGGAAGGCGAAGCCGCCAAAACGTCTGCCATCGGGCAACAACACCAACAACAACGACAACGACAACGACAACGAAGACCTACACCAAACTTGCATCAACTAAGGAGGATCTGTTTATATGATCATATAAATAAATGCATCAAGTTTTGTATTGATGCACAAGAACTGTTGAGCCTTCTTGTACGCACAGTCCAACGAGCTGCGAAAGGAAAGTAAGCGCCTAATTGATGATACGACTGAGTGAGATTGGGATTCCATGATCACCTTTTCAAACCTTTCTATTTAAGGTGGGTGTTTATGGAGCGCAGTGAATTCACTGCGATTTTTCCATCGTGTGTATACAAAACAAAATTTACTATTGTACCTTTCGTACTGAGGGATCTCGTTCCATTCATATAACAGTAGCAACCCGCCCACTGGTCTGACTCAGTTCTGCAGATGGTTGGAAAAGGATCATCTAAAAACTCCAAATGTTTTGTTTACCTGTAACAAATGCACAACTCGATCCATGCAACTCTTTATTCTGTTGAAATAATTCGAAATTTTTTATTCGAAGCAATGCTTCAGAGCGAATACTGTTGGTCCTCAGCAGAAAAAAGAGTGAGCGGAACTTCATTTAAGGCGATCCAACATTTTCGCTAAGAGATCTAATGTTAGAGTTGACGAAGTTGCTGTGCATCAAGCGGTGGTTTGATATCGGGTTTTCTTGACGGCTTTACCTCATTCCAATGAAAAATGTTAGTGGAAAACATTTCTTTCTATGCAATCCGCATTACTGTTGTGGTCGAAGCAATGCGTGAAGCTGAAAATTCCACTCATTTCCATAACGTTGGGAAGAATTCTTCGATTGTCGAAAGGAAACAAGCTCTGTTCTATTTGTTTTGCAGATGGCAAAATTAAAGCACCGTCAGCGCCGTTAGTTCTTTTATGAGAATTTTATGAACGATCAGTAAGTCTGAAAAGCAGTTCCGTATTCTGGTAGTTACTTGTTTCAGTTAGTAGAATCATACTGTTGTGTTCCTCTTTCTCACAAGCGTTCTTGATCACCGTAGTATGTTTTGCTCTGCAAGTGCGCCGAAGATATTCTTATCAATTTACTAATTTACATTTAGAGTTTTTATTTCTTTTTGTCCAATAAACGCAGTGGATGTGAAGTGGAGTGTATCTTTGCAGAAGCATCGTCTTCTGGATTGAGTATGAAGCATCTTCTCATTCTCGCTGCTCTTATTGACATTACACTGGTAGGTTGATGTTTTTGCAATATCTTAAGACGACCGCTCCTCCTAATGCTGAACAGGTGGTCACCAAGATCTTTTAGGCTTGTAGCTCCAGGACGCCTCAAGTGCAACAGCCAGGGCTGCCAGGGCCACCAGGGCCACCTGGACCGGCAGGGCCATCAGGGCCAGCCGGGCCAGTAGGGCCATCAGGTCCAGCTGGGCCAGCAGGGCCATCAGGTCCAGCTGGGCCAGCAGGGCCAGCCGGGCCAACGGGGCCACCAGGGCTAGCAGGGTCGCAACAGCAATCAAATGTTTCAGGTCGACGCCGAAGGGAAGCGAAGGTAATCAACATTGAGTTGAAATTAAAAGTTCGGAAAAAGAGGAAAGGAAGTCCGATTATTGACTGCCGTCGTGCGTAGTTTAAATAACGGGCCTCTACCGAAGAGGCTGACGACCTCCAACACTAGCGTGTGAGACTAATTGGTGGATTGATGGCGACATGAATAATGTACAAATCAAACGACTGCAGATTTTTTCTAATACATATTTTGTAATCATCAGTGGCTTAACGTGCTTCGTTTAAGGTGGGTGTTCCATTGTATTCAAATGCATCATACTTTGAAGGTTCCATAGATCCTTTCAAACTATTTCTGAGTCTGACGTGTCTATCCGGAAACATGTATGAGATCACAGCTATGCTGCGACTGTTTCTGGTGGGATTCTGATTTACACTTTCTCGTAAAAACCAGCATAAAAAGGGGTTAATTGAACCAAAACTTTAATGATACTCCTCGTCTGATTTTGTGTCGCAAAGGAGGTTATAGTGCTGAGAGTTTGCTGTCAGTGGAAAAACCAAAAATTACTAAATGTTTTTCTACTATACCAGTACTTGTGCGGAGTTTTGAAGCTCTGCCTGCAATGCCACTTCTTCAAAAAAAGCTTCTTATGAGATCATTCCCCTTTTACTAATGACGATCAGTGAGAAAAATTATAATGAGCTGGAATTGCTGAGAGGATTTAACACCTACTCCTTTGAAATCAAGGATGTGGTTGAGCAATTGGACAACGCTTTGCGAGAAGTTCTGCCCGACTTCATGCATTGAATTCCATCTCATCTTGTCTGTATTTGCATGACTTTTGAATTGATTTCTGTTGCTCATCCAGGATTTATATTTTAGACCTTTTGACTTTATTGCACAATGAATCGTTTGAAATTCTCCAGAAACATCATTTGAGGGAGAGTGAGTAAACGGGAGTAGGGATGAACGAACGACTGGAACATTCGAAAGAAAGAACAAATTTACTAAAAGCCTTTATTATCGAGCATTTTCTTTACAGCACCGGATGTTTAGGTGCTGTACTACGCGCTAGAAGACAACCAGAACAATTCAAGTGCTACTGTGAAGGCACACATTGAAGCGGTTCTCTGATGAAGACTTTTTCATTTTCGAATTGCCATGAAGCAATGAACCTTTTTGGTGTTTATTGTTGTATTTGCATGTGTAATTTAATTCTATGAGAAACAGTATTTAGAATAGCGAAGCTACTGTCAAACTATATATTTTTACGCTGCCTCACTTTAGTAATTTTACACTAAAAAATATGTCCTCGTTGACTATCCGTAAAATGGTGGTCCAAGGTATTGTTCGAGGAAACACTAGAAACTCTGGCACGTCTCGTAATAAATTCCACGACCGACTTCCTATTACATTCGGCATTGATCAAGTAGTTCTTCGTATTCTTATTGAGCAAACGCAAGGCGTTGTTTTCATTCTTTATTTACGAATAAGCTGACGATTCGGCACATTTCGCCTTTCTCAGAGCCTGGAAAGAACATGAAAGAAAAAAAGAAAAAAGAAAAGAAAGAAGAAGAAAAGAAAGAAAGAAAAAATATGAATATGTGAATAAAACAATAAGAAAACACCTAGTCGGTAAACGTAAACCAAATACCCCACTAGGAACGCATAGGACCCAGAGATATAACGGGGAGGACTTTGAAGTACGTGCCACGTTCCTCGCAAAGGAATCGAGAACACAAGCGCGCAAAACTCTCGAGGCGTTCTGGATCAATTCCAGAAATCCGAAAATGAACTGCCGGGAAGAATTCCTCATTATCACGCGTGGTATTGGGCAGTATATAAGATTGTAATTCTGATGGGAGGGGCACATTACGCTTCCATGTGAATTCTGTGCGGTTGGTCTCCACGCAACATACTCAGTGGAAGACTCATAGAATCCGGTGGGTGTGCAAAGAGGCTATTCTGTGTTCAATGTGATTGAAATTTTGGTTTAGCGTTTTCTCGGTTTGGTTATGGAGGTTTTTGGCCGATTAGATTGCTGTCAATTTGACCTCTGCAAGCTCTGAGGAAGACGAAATCCGCCGAAACGTCAGCTTATTCGTGAATAAAGAATAAAAATTACACCTCGCGTTTGCTCAAGAAGAACGCGAAGAATTACATGATCAATGCCGAGGTTAGTAGAAAGTCGGTCGTTGGATATATTACGAGAACTTGTTTCGTATTGGCAATCGAAGAATTCTCGCCAGCGTTTTGGGAATGAATGGAATTTCCGGCTGCACGCACTGTTTCAACCACAGCAGTAATGCGGTTTGCATAGAAAAAAATATTCTTCGCTAACATTTTTTATTGGAATGAGGTACAGCCGTCAAGAAAACCCGATATCAAACCACCGCTTGATGCACAGCAACTTCGTTAACTCTAACATTAGTTCTCTTAGGGCAAATGTTGGAATCGCGTTAAGTGAAGTTCCGCGCGCTAATTTTTCTGCTGAGGATCAACAGTAGTAGCTACGAAGCATTGCTTTGGATAAAAAATTTCGACTTATTTCAACTGAGTAAAAAATTGCTTGGATGGAGTTGGGAATTGAGAAGAGTATCCATATAGGACCACTTATTTATGCTGCTTTTTAGAGTGAAGGATTCAGCGTGGTTCTTTTGCGCCATGTGTTTACTCCCGGCCAGATACGAGTGCTTGTGGAGTTTGCCTCATTGCTTTTCCTCTAAGTTTCTTCAAGTAGGGTTTCCTAGTATTCGTTTATTCGTAGCAGTGCTTCTGGACGGAAACATCTAAGTTATCATACT